ACTTAGTGAGCTTTTAAAGGAAGTAAGAATCTAAATGTACACAGAGAAAATGCATACTACCCACATTTACCCTAAAAAGCTTTTGCCTGGCTTTTAAGTGAGTTAATACTAAAAATACATAGTTTGTTGTTTACTTGGGGTGCAGTTTATCATCTTCTAGGTACATAATTGCATTATCTTTGATATATTAGAACAGCGCAGGCTTAGAAGTTGCATGAATTGGATTGAAAAATGCTATCCCAGCATATCCCATTTCCTTTTGACTTTACAATGTGCTGGCACAAAGATCCAAATTGATATATTATTGCCTTTTGGCATTTGTTTCTTTGTTTGTTTGTTTGTTTGTTGTGCTGGTACTGGGGCTTGAATTCAGGACTTCTCTCTGGTCTTTCCTACCCACTGCCAGCTCTCTATCACTTGGGCCACAACACCTCCAGCTTCAGCTTTTTGCGGATAGTCTCCTAAATTTCCCTATTTGCGATGGCTTTGAACCTGGATTCTCAGATCTCTGCCTCATGAGTAGCTAGAATGAAAAGCACCTGGTTATATGTTGCCTTTTTAACCTCTGTAAGTTGGCCATTGATGTTCAATTTAATTAAATTTGAATGTATATTTTAGATAGAATGAAACACAAAAATTGTAGCTATATTGAGGTCTTAAGACTGTGGATTTGCTTCAGCAAATAATCCCTCACTCAAAAACAAACAAAGACCTTGCACCTATTTGGGGATTGTCTTTCCTTTTACGGGACTGTTCACCTAGGTGCTGGGGAAGTCTGGAATTCTCACCTTATAGATGCTGAGGTACTGAGCAATGCTTTTCCCAAGATGGCACTGCATTGGTTTTCTAGTTTTACTGTGCCTTACAAGTGTATCTTACTAACCAGGAGCCAGTGGCTTGCACCTGTATTCTAGGTACTCAGGAGGCTGAGATCTAAGGATCAGGGTTCAAAGCCAACCTACGCAGGAAAGTCCATGAGATCCTTATCTCCAACTAACCACTAAAAAAACAGAAGTGGCGCTGTGACTCAAAGTGGTAGAGTACTAGCCTTGAGTGAAAAAGCTCAGGGACAATGCTCAGGGCCCTGAGTTCAAGACCCAGGTTTTTTGTCAGTTCAACCAAAAAAAAAAAACAATTAATTATTGTGTCATACTATATCTTACTATGTATAACACACACAGGATAGGGGCAGATTGAAGTGGCACTCAGGAACTGTTTCCAAAATCCCATGAACTGTAAATTGAAAATTAGAGAGTTAGAAAAAGTATATCTGGTACAAATGATCACTTTAGATCTTTCAAAACCAAAGAAATACTAATTTTAAAGTATTTTAAAATACTAATTTTAAAGTATTTTAAAGAGACTTTAAAATTGGTTGAGTATCCAGATTTGTTGATTTCCTAAGTCCATATCTAATTCTAGGCAGAGTAGGGCAAGGTTCAAGCTGGTTAAAGGAAGCCTGGTATCACAATGACTTCACAGTCTCCAGAGGCTAGGAGGCAACTTGCGAAGAACCACTAGATAATTGGATATTTGGCAAACTGCCAGGTAATTGGCATCCTGATGGCTAGAGACAAATGGTCTTGTCTTTCAGACGCATCATTATTCTTCAGTTACATAATAAACCATTTCTTCTTTTCATTCATGACTTAACATTTCTAGGTCAGACTTGGTAACCCTGGAAAGTCAGAAATAATTGTCACAAATCCAGACTTTCCCCTGAGTGCTCAGAAAATCCAAGGTCCCGCAAGACTTTTGTGGAAAGAAAAAGAAAAGGCTGTGTGCGTGTGTGTGTGTGTGTGTGTGTGTGTGTGTGGAGAGACAGACAGACAGACAGACAGAAACAGAGAAAGACAGAAACAAAGATAGAGACAAAGAGAGAACTTGACCTTTGATGAATACTCTGAAGGGGAAAATTATGTCTTCCCAAGGCTTTCCCATCTTTCCTAGGACTTGTCTTCCCATGTGCTCACTCAGCCTACCAGACTGTCCATGATGGCTAGGGCCCAGTCATCAGCCTTGTATTTCCTCGCACTATTTGGCATGTAATATCACACTTCCCAACTGGCCTCGGCTTCTTGAGTTAACGGTAGTATGAGCTTTCCGTCCTTACCTAAAATTTTCCTTCTCCTTGGTTGTTCTCCAATCACTAAATTCGCAAGTACTTTACACGCACAATCTGGCTCTCATTTCCAAGACCCTGTTCGATGTCATTACTAATCCTAACCATAAATATTTGTTGAGCGCTGGGCTGTGATGGCCTCCAGGGGTCTTTGGCAAGTTCCAAACACTTCAATGTTCAGGACGGACAGATGTGAAGCTCTAAGAAGAAAGAGTCAACCGTTTCTTTGTATTATATCAGCCTATAGTGTGCTTTTAATAAAAAGCAATCCTCTGTCAAGGGTCAGAAGATTGTGGTCATCTTTTCTCAAGACTGTATTGGGAGGGATGTCCTAGCAGGTAAATTTATTGACATTGGAGTAGAACTTATTTTTGTGAAGACACTATGTTGAAAATGAACTTTACAACTTCAGGAGGGAGGAGTTGGGGAGGTGGGGAGGGAAGGGACAGTAGGGGGGAAACAAAGAGGGGGTAACAGTGCTCAATAGGAAAGGTACTCATTACTTTATTCAAGTCACTGTAACCCCTCTGTACAGTATCTTTACAATAAAAAAGTTTTAAAACATTCTTCTATCCTCCTCTATAAGCAACGGCTGACAACCTGCACTGTGTCTGGTATAAAACTAATTGTGAGATCATGCAAGCCGGAGAAAGACACATGACGTTAGAATGATTCCACTTAGTAAAACATGAATAAGAGATCATTTCTCCCACAAGAAACCAGAGGAAAGGACAGGAACTGACCTTTCATGCTCTCAGCCCTCCTTGTGAAGGATCCCTACCCATTCAGGACCTTACGACATCAACACTGGAAAAGAAGCCTCTGAGTCACATTGCAGCATGTGGTTTGCTTTCTTAGTCAGCTATTACCTGGCTGCAGAATTATTTTAACACTTGAAAGCAGAGCCCCACAGGAAGGCTAACATACAACTCTTCAGATACTCAGAGGTCTATGGCCTAATCAGGTCCCCTCTTAAAGCCCATGCATCTGGACAGTGTGGAGAGTTCAGTCAGAATGTCTCTGCATCACCAGGGAGAAAACAGTATCCATGTGATGCACACTGGCAAGCAAGAAACTACCACAAAACATACCAGAACCGAACCACACGTTCAAGCTGAGAGGTAGCAAAGTGGTCTCTTTGAGGAGGTAAATGATCACGCTCAGCCTAATGTTGATCTCTGACATTCAGATTTCTTTTAGTCAAAGCTTTCTTTTTAAATCCTCTCTCTCTCAGTCTCTCTCTCAGTCTCTCTCTCTCTTTCTCTCTCTCTCCTCTTTTTTGGTAGGTCATGAGGCTTAAATTGGGGGCCTGGGCACTGTCCTTCAGCTCAAAGCTAGTGCCTAGTGCTCTATTAGTTGAACTACAGTGCCATTTCTGGTTTTCTGGTGGTGAATTGCACAGACATTCCTGCCTGCTTCAAACCCTGATCCTCAGATCTCAGCCTCCTAAGTAGCTAGGATTACAGGCTTGAGCTGCCAACACCTGGCTTATCTTTCCTTTTTGTAATGAATATTTTTATCACCTTTAGTCCTACAAAAGAGTTGCCATTCAACAAAGCAGTTTATGAATACAGTGCATCGTGATCAATGTCGCCCTTCCAACATTCTCACCCACCCCTCCCACACCATCACTTTTCTTAATTTTTAGGATATATATTGGATTGATTTTTGCCATTTGCCAACGAAGTTTGAGTATATTAAATGCAACTTCTGTGTCATCCACCTCCCTTTCTTTCCACCCACTTTCCCTTATTTTTCTCAATTCTCTGATTGTATGCAGTGAATCAGTCTCCTTTTTCCCCTTCATTCATCTAGCCCTCTCCTCTTAATCCTACCATGCCTCTTGTAAGAACCCATTTCCTGGTATGCTTAATTAGTATAATTCTTCCAAAAGACAAAATCAAAGCCCAAGATCCAATGCTTTTAACATTTCATGGGAAAATGATAAAAAAATAAAATAAAAAGCCCCGTTGGTTGGGAATTTCAGGGTGAAGCATTAAGAGACTTTAGTTGTTCTGGATAAAATAACAAGAAGGATCCTCTTGGCAATAGCCCTACTTCTAAATATGTATTTAATTATCCCATTACTTTTGGATTAGTAATACTTGTATGCAATCGGGGCTGCTGTGGTATGGTCTGGTGGTTATCAGTTCAATATTCTGCCTGGAGAAACTCCACATCATGTGAACTATGTAACATAAAAAAAAAAAAGCAACAAGGCACAAATGTCTTTTTCTCCCAGCTTTACTTTAGGGAAACATGCCAAAAGTAGGATGATATATTCCACCCATTCACTGAGGATGGGGAAGAAAAAGGAAATGGGAGCTTTCATTGTTCAAGAGGGTTGTAAGGAAAATGTGAATTTTCCCATATGCTTTGTCAGCAACTTTGACTTCTGATTTCATAGTCTCTGCAAGTTTTAAAAACTTGCACAGTTTTAAAAAATTGGTTCATCATATCTTTTGTAGTTATCAGATTGAACATTGTTTCCAGAGGGAACATTCACCTTGCGATTGTTGTGTGGAATGGCTGTGACAACTGATTTAAAAAGAAAATCAAACATTAATGTCACTTCAGACTATTCCATAAAACAAAGACAAAAGCATGTCCATAACAAACTTCTAATGTACTACAGGATCTGGCTAAAATATGAATGTGCCACAAGTGGCTGTTTTTCATGCGATTAAAAATAAAATCTCTTCTTTACAGTGAGACAAAAAGCAACTCAGAGTCCTCAGGAAATAGAAGAAACTTAAACAGATTTTCTCTCTGGCAGCTTGAAGTTGCTAATGTTTCTTGGAAAGCATTCAGATTCCCAGGTTGATACACACAGCGTCCCCTCCCACAGCCCTGCCATGTATATAAACTCTGCTCTCCAAAGCCCATTGCCAGTTCTCTTCGAGGATTAACTGGAGAGACTAAAGATGATTCCTTTCTTAGCCACATTTGCTCTGCTCCTGCTGTGCACTGTTAACCCTGCAGTTGCCAATGGTTATTATGACAAGGTGTTGGCTCACAGTCGGATCAGGGGCCGAGATCAGGGGTAAGTCATTGGCTTGTTTGATATACTTCTTCCACCTTTACCTTATTAGATGAACAAGACTATATACAGTCCCTCATATGTATACTTCAAAGTGTGTTTTTCTAGTTGTTCATGGCGCTGAGAGGAGCAAATAATGAGTATTTTATGATGATTTATATTATGTATTTTAAACCAAATTTTATTTGGTTTATTACCAAAATACCTTGAAGTATTACTGCTTTATATTCACTGTTAACCTAATGAACAAAAGGCATTTCTTTACAATTCAGTTTACTTGTGTTTTCAATTCTTTCCAAAATTCTGGCATGGAATTTTCAAACTTAAAGTATCTTATGTTAGAGACAATCATGTGAAGCGCTTTGAAATAGCTCCTGTAAATGTCAGAGCACATTTCATGTAAATTAAATATGAAGGGTAAATACCAGGCAATGTGACTAGTTCTCTTCCTTACATGTCTGACACTACTCACTTCAAAAAGTGACTAGGTATGACTTAGACCTGACTAAGTAACTTTGCCAGGCCCTTAGACTTTAGTGGATACGGGCATTTGTTCCTTTGTCTCACAGTAAAAAGACGACTTCCAAATTGTTAAGAGAAAAAAAAAGCCCACATTTAGAACTGTGGGAGAGGATGATTAGACTTACTGCTTCCATTCACAGAAATATATCTTCCTTTATGCATCTCTCTTGTTCAGAAGTTAATTGGAGTACTGTTATTTCTGTAACTACCTAGGAAATTAGAGAGTTAGAATATCTGTGCATACTAAAACTTGGATCTTTTGATCTTACATTCCCAGAGAGTCTGAAATCATCCCCATCCTCCAAATGAGTTTGTGTTAAAAGACACATTAAAAAGTATGTGTGAGTATTCCTCGTAGGTTAACTTTTTGAACTATTTGGTTTTTGTCTCTCAGAGAATGATTTCTCCCACCACATGTACATCCCTATAGAATTCAGCAGGATTGGACCAGGAATTAGAATTAGATTTGTTCCACCTAAAGCTACATCTTTAAAAATTAAATGCATAAATTAACTTTTTTTTTAAAAAGCATCTGACTAATCACTATGAAAATGTAATCACTATTAGAACATTAATTCTTTCTCTACCCTCCATTTTCCAGCCCAAATGTCTGTGCCCTCCAACAGATTCTGGGCACCAAGAAGAAATACTTTAGCTCTTGCAAGAGTTGGTATCAAGGTGCCATCTGCGGGAAGAAAACGTAAGTCCCATCTTTCTTACCTGCCAGTTCCACAGATAACAATGATTTACATGCTTCTTGTTGAGTATATATATATATATATATATATATATATATATATATATATATATATATATATATGTATATTTGAAAATACTTCCCAAATTGCCATCTTTTAAAAGAAGAGATCAGATGGATGCCAGTGGCTCATGCTGTAATCCTAGCTCATCAGGAGAATGAGTCTGAGGGTCATGGTTTTAAGCCAGCTCAAACAGAAAAGCCTGGTTAATCTCCAATTACCCATCAAAAAGCTCTAAGTGGAGGTGGTATTGCTCAAGGGGTAGGACAGCAGACTTGAGCCAAAGACTACCAAGAGCATAAGGTTCCAAGTTTAAGCCCTACGTGGTACCAGCGGGCATGCACACACACACACACACACACACACACACACACACACACACACACACACCACAAATAATGGAAAAAGGAAAAAGAATCATATATAGATAAAGAAACTTCCTCTTGCACTACTACTAGTGGAGCTCAAATTTCTCCCCAAATCCATATGTGTTAGAAGCCACACAGGCAGATCACATGACAATGTGCTTTCCTATGAAATCAGAATGAAAGACAGGTTACGCTGCTTCTCCTCTTTTCTCTTCCTTCTCTCCCCACTTTTATATCCTAGTTGACATACTTGTTTATTCTACCATAAATATTGGTGGGAAAAATAAAAGTGCAGGAAATATAAATGGCAAGAACTGCTTATGTGGTCCAAATTGGTCATTTTACAATGAGAGAACTGAGTCACAGGTAGGATAGGTAGCTAAAGCATAATATCTATATATCATCTATCTATCTATACCTATATCATCTCCCTATCTCTATCTAGCTCTATATCTATAGCTATACCTATCTATTCACATCTCTATCTATCTATCTATCTATCTATCTATTCTTCTAAGAAGAAATACAGTCTTAGCTGGGTTATGAATCCCAATAGCAACCTAAGTCTAGGAGCCACAGGATTTGGCATCTGGTATTCATTGACTTCACAGATTTGTACCGGATATTAGTGGGGGAGAAGGTAACTGGAGCTTGCACTCAGGGCCTGGGCACTGTCCCTTCACTTTTATACTCAGACTGGCACTCTACCACTGAGCCACATTGCTACTTCTGGTTTGTTTGCTAGTTAACTGGATTTAAGAGTCTCATGGACTTTCTTTCCTGAGCTGGCTTGGAACCATGATCCTCATATCTCAGCCTCCTAAGATCTAGGATTTAGGATACAGACACAGGCATGAGCCACTAACACCCAGCTGGATACTTTCTTGACCTAGACATTGTTCCTACTCACTTGCAGACATCTGCTAGGCTTGTGAGTCATTCACACAATTATTCTGCAAGTCTGTGTTCACAATGGTATTCCCACCCTTCTAGTCAGCCTTCAGTTGGGAACTCTAAGGCTCTAGATTCTCCTTTGTTCTTTCACTGTAGAATATTGTAAGACATATTTGGAATACACACTAATTACAAAAGAAAGGGCATGTACTCCAAATTTTTAGGGGGGAAAATTTTATTGCATCCTTCCTGGAAGCTAAGGAATATGCTGTAATCATACTTTAACTATCTAATTATATTAGAAATGCCAAAGTTTATGTAGAACATAAGCCAAGATTCTTTCTTGTGTTCCTTAAAAAAAAATCCTGCTTCAAAGTTTGGCCTCTTACCAGAAATGTAACAGTGTCTCCTTTGTTAAATTATATTAGCGAATTTTCCCCAAGCGCTTTATTTTCACAAGCACTTTACATCTGTGCACTGAAGTTAACGCAAAGGCTACTTTCAGATAACCAGAGAAGTCAATCACACTGACAAGAAGAAGGCCTGGCTTGCCAACTGCTCACTTCTCCTACAGTTTCCAGAAACATCTTTAAGACTTTGTATATCTGTTGACAAAATTGTTTGCCTTCTGATTGAACTGTTGCTTTGGAAATTTTAGGGAAGTAATGAGAAAGCCTAATGAGAAACAAGAACTGTCCTAGATTTAATATACTGGGCACAATATATATTGGTCCAGTAACAAAGTGCTCTGTAAATGCCCTATAGAATGGAAGTGTCATTTTCCATTGCCGTTCTATGAAATTTTGGTTTCTATTCCAAAAATGAAGGTAATAGAAAATAATACAAATGAAACAATAAGTTTCTCTCTTACTGCAGAAAAAAGAATTAAGAAATTTTAAAGCGTATATTAACATAATGAAATTAATAGTTCCATTGATCATTCAAATGACGGAACATTAATTATCTGCATTAGAAATCAAATTTTTTTTTTAAATTTTTTTTGGGTCCGGTCGTGGGGCCTGAACTCTGGGCCTGGGCGCTGTCCCTCAGCTCTTCAGCTCAAGGCTAGCGCTCTACCACTTGAGCCACAGCGCCACTTCTGGCTTTTTTCTTTTTGCTTATGTGGTGCTGAGGAATCGAACCCAGGGCCCCAGGCATGCAAGGCAAGTGCTCTACCACTGAGCCAACTTCCCAGCCCAGAAATCAAATTTTATAGAGTATCACACTCCCCTGTGAGCGCAAATTATTGATACTGAATCCATCTCTAATAGTTGAGACATCTTTCTACCAAGTAGTGGGATTAAGATTCTAGAATATTTCCCCTTCAGAGAGAAGTCAAACTAATATAAATATATATATTGGTCACAGAATACGGGAATAAAACAAAATCGTAGAAATAAATGATATATGTGTAAGTTCACGTCGAATGTATCCTAAGCATTTATCCATTTTAATGTTTCTTTTCTCCCAACATATAGGACTGTAACATATGAATGCTGTCCTGGTTATATGAGAATGGAAGGAATGAAAGGCTGCCCAGCAGGTAAAAAAAAAAAAAATCAAGCTAAATTTTCTGAATTAAGTGAGAAACTCGTCTTGTGGGAGAAAAAAAAGTTGAAAGAACAGGTAGAGAAGTCACTTGTATGTGTGTGCATGTGTAGCACCATCATAAATCCAAGTTTTCCAACTCTTTGTCCTAATTATGTGTTTATTATAATGATAAAATATTGTTACACACTCAATGTTGGATAATACAGAAGAAGCCTAATTTGAATCTCAGTGTAAAGTAGTTCAATTGCCCCTCAATAAAAAGTCTCTACAAAAATCCCTTTTGTAAGCCAGAAGCCAGTGACTCATGCCTATAATCCTAGCTACTCAGGAGACTGAGATCTGAGGATTGCAGTTCACAGCCAGCCTGGGCAGGAAAGTCCATGAGACTCTTATCTTCAATTAATCACAGAAAAAGCTGGAAGTGGTGCTGTGGCCCAAGTCTTAGAGCACTAGCCTTGAGCAAGAGGAGACCAGGGACAGCACTCGGGCAGAGTTCAAGTCCCAGGACTGGCAAAAAGAGAAAAGAATCCTTTTTGTTGGACTTGTTTACAACCATGGCCCTTGCTACTTAGCAAGGTAACATCTTCCCTAGTTTGAACAGCTGTCAACTAGAGAAGAAAATAGCTTATACATTCCCTCTGGAATTTTAGACATTTAAATATTAGTTCTGTCATCTCATCTAAGACTCTGAACAAATGTAGTAACTATTTCCTCCTTGATGGGTGTTCAAAATCATACCAATTATCAGATAAGATAAGGTCAGAATAATAAGCTGGATGCACACAAAAGATATATCTTTTCAGATTAGCATTTAAACATTAGTCTCTTTTGTCACTCAGAATAAACATTCTGAAAGTGTTATTTTCCTCTGTTTTCTTGATAAAATCAAAATGAAAAGAAGCTGGTCAATATATTGCTTTTTAAAAACCCCAAATTTAAATAATGATCAAATGACTTACTATCTTCTAATCAGTAAGATAGAAATTGTTACCTTTGCCCTCATCAGAGAGCTTTGTTCTTGTTTTTTTGTTTTTGTTTTTGTTTTTGATAAATAGAGATATCTTCTAACAATTAGTATTGCCAATTGACACCCAAAGAGACTAAATGTTGGTTCAAGGGGATAGTTTTAAACCAATTTTTCTCTCAACATATATGATAAAAGAAATAATAATTTAGGAGTGGATTACAGTACTTAGCACTGAAAAGAAAGACTTTCTTTACTGTAAAAGTGATATATAGAGAGTTTACAGTTACATAAGTCAGGCAATGAGTCGAGTTATTTTTGAACAGAGTCACCCCTCCCTCATGTGCTCCCAGTTTTTCCCTTTCCAACCCCTTTCCCCTCCCCAAGTTGTAAAGTGAGTATCACTGTTGAATTCATTCACCATTTGTCCCACTGTTCAGAATTCCTCTAAAATGGCTGATTCATGGAAATGTTATTGCTGGAATTATTAATTAGATGTATGTGGCGGGTGTAGAATTCAAGTGATTGGAGAAAGACATTCTGGAAATATTCTCCTAAGCCCTTCTCTGTTTCCTGATTCTTTCAGTTATGCCTATTGACCATGTTTATGGCACCCTGGGAATTGTGGGGGCCACTACCACCCAGCACTATTCTGATGTATCAAGACTGAGGGAAGAGATCGAAGGAAAGGGGTCCTACACTTACTTTGCACCGAGTAATGAGGCGTGGGACAACTTGGATTCTGTAATTCCCTATTTTTATTCATATATTTAATGTCTGCTCTTCTTATTTCATTTAAATTGATTAACTTAAGTATTAATAGAAATCTTCTATCTTTCCATTTGCAAATACTTGAGAATATATGAATGCGTCAGTTATTGATGAAAGTAAAGCACATTTATACAGGCCTAAATAAAAATAACTCCCCAAAAGAAATACAGAATTTTTTAAGAGAAATCAAGAAGATTGTATGCATGGCTCAACAGTAGAGTACTTGTATAGAAAGCATGAGGTCCTGAGTTAAACTTTAGTATGGCCTAGATAAACAGATGTACAGAAAGAATCTAGACTAAAAGAACATTTATTGTTATTGTTATTATTAATATTATCATACTTTATTCCTTTCCTCTTTTTGGTAGTGAAAAATACATGTAACTTCAAATACTTAGTGGAAATGCAAATTAAGAAGCCTAGTGAAATTTGAAATCTATCTAAAGCTATATCATATAGATATAGTTTGTTAGGTATCCTTCATTATATACAAATATCAATGGCAGTTCAGGGATTTTCATATGTGTAAATATGTATACATAGTTATATGAACTGCTGGAATCAATACAGTTGATTTTCAGACATGGTGTAAAGTCTAATGTACAGGACACTCAAATGACACAACTACCAAATCTGTAGACCTAGTATATAAATACCTGTTTTCTATTTATAGCTTTTATTTGGTATTAATATAGATTGAAAGTTCCTATTGCAGTCAGATACTTACTTTCACCATGTTAGCTATGTGGTTAAAAGCTTGAGTTGTAGCACCCTACCTTATGGTTACTCTTCCCCACATCTGTATCTTTTCTAGCTCCCCTTGATGAGTCTTCTTCCCTTCCGCAAGAAGACAACATTAAAAAAAAAAACCAAAAACTTTTCTGGGAACTCAACTCCACTCTTTTTTTTTTTTGGGTCCGGTCGTGGGGCCTGAACTCTGGGCCTGAGCGCTGTCCCTCAGCTCTTCAGCTCAAGGCTAGCGCTCTACCACGTAAGCCACAGTGCCACTTCCAGCTTTTTTCTTTTTTTCTTATGTGGTGCTGAGGAATCGAACTCAGGGCCTCAGGCATGCAAGGCAAGCGCTCTACCACTGAGCCAACTTCCCAGCCCTCAAGTCCACTCTTTACTTGCACTTCTGACTTTAGAGCTTGTAGCTATGAAATCTGTTTCTTGCTCTTATTTTTCCCTGGAAAACCAAGCCATTTCTAATGTCTATATTCATACCACCTACACCTTGAAGTGAGATGTATTCAATAGGCACTCAATGTCCTTTCATTCCATAAATATGATTTCTTCTTTTTTCCCCATAATTTCCAGAATCTAATTCAATGTGCAGAATTAAACACTGTACATCATTTTCATTTCCCCTCTCTACTTCATACAAACTCTTATAATCAATCCTAGCTCATGTTTGATCTATAGTTAATTCTATTAACATTCTTATTTCCACAGAGCTTTGCCACTCAATCGGCTTCTAAATGTCAGTTCTAATTTCTATATTGCAGTGTAAAGAACCTTGCAGTAGTTCTTAATTGCCAGTTCCATTTACTCCTTACTCAGGCATTAAGCACTTTTTCATTAGTATACTAAATACCTTACCAGATGTCTTCTTCATGTTATCTGGGAAACATAAAAAGTGTGGGTTAGCAAAAATGGACAACATCTGTTCTCTTAACACTCATCCTACATTAATCAAAGGACTCAGAGTGGCATCAAAGCATTCCTATCTATTTAAGCTTATCTACTGTTGCATGCTTATCTCTAAACTAAGAATAGTTGGCATTTCTCCTTTGACTTCTAAAGCCCTTTATTTTTACCACTGTGCTAAAATCTTGCTTTACTTTTGCCTACTGTAACCACTATGTTGAGATTTCACCTTGCTTACATTTTCCATAACATTGCATACAACACCATGATCTAGCACATAGCATTGATGGTGGTTGAATTCTTGAATTTGTTACTAAATAAGCATAACATCTTTATTAAATCTTGAGTGTTGTATGCATTTCTGTGTTTTTTTCCTCACTTAAAACATTATCTGATAATGTCAGATTCCTCAAGTTTGCCTTGTCAACAATATATTCATTAAAATTTTTGCTTTATCTCTGAAAATACCTAAGCACTCTGAGAGTTCCTGGACACACATACAATTTAAATTTAAAAATGTCTTTAACCAAAAAAAAATCCTTAACCAATTCAAGTAATGTCATTTTAAGTATTTTTATCCATTTTACATTGTCAACTATAATGCATTAAGAAAGTAACAAGAAAGTGGAAATAGAGTGATAAACAAAGGAGGAGGTAACAATGCTCAAAAGGAAATGTACTCATTACTTTATTCATGTAACTGTAACCCCTCTGTACACTATTTTTACAATAAAACCATATTAAAAAAAAGAAAATCTCAAAAATCTGATAAACTAACACAGACATAAGAAAATAAACTAAAACTTCATTTTTTTCCAGGATATCCGTAGAGGATTAGAGAACAATGTTAATGTAGAATTATTGAATGCCTTGCATAGCCACATGGTTAATAAGAGGTTGCTGACCAAGGACCTAAAACATGGCATGGTTATTCCTTCAATGTACAACAACTTGGGGCTTTTCATTAACCATTATCCTAATGGGGTAAGTTTCCTTTGTAAACCATACATTACTCAATTTGTTTTCTTAATTTTGCCTGTCCCTTTTGTATAATGTTCACATAAATTATAAAATTAACATCACATGAAATAGCTATATTAAGACTTCCAAAATACAGGGTATTTTCAATCCAGTTACTGTTTCCTACGAATACTTGTGAAGGATGAATTACACTGGCAGTTCACTAACAGTAGAATTGGATGTCCTAATCTAGGAACATTTTCCTAGTTGATGTGTCTCAAATCATTTTTATAGATAAGCAATAAAGGATCATCAGAGGACATTCCCTAGCTACTAAGTATACTGATTGCCCTTCTCATGGGTTTGGGTCAGAGTTGGTGGCAAATTGCCCACAAAATCATAAGATTCTTTCAACAGTCAGATTCCCAGGGACAGAAAATTCAGTATTGAGGCAATAGATAGCAAGTCATTGCAAGAGAACTCATTATCCTGTTGCAATAATTACTTGTCTCTGTCACAAGTTATTTTAGGACGAATTTGAATTATTTATATAACCCACTGACACATTAGAAATAGTTTATGATTATTTCCTTTGAAGAAAGAACAAAAAATTGTTTGGATCATGGTTCTAGATATACTATTTATAGCTCTTACGTCCTGAGCCTGCATGGTTTTCTCTTAGTGGTTTGTGTTTCAGAGATAGCAAAATGTAAGTCAGATTCCACAGTATTTGCATTCAGAATACAGGCTCCTTCATCTGTACTTATTGGGGGGAAAAATTAGGAATGATCATGCTGTTTGTTAGTGGGTAGCTCTGAGTTTCAGTGGATAATTCTGGCTTTACAAATGATTACAGGTTGTCACCGTTAACTGTGCTCGAGTCATCCATGGGAACCAGATTGCAACAAACGGTGTGGTACATGTCATTGACCGGGTGCTTACACAGATTGGTACCTCCATCCAAGACTTCCTGGAAGCAGAAGATGAACTTTCCTCTTTTAGAGTAAGGACAAGGACTGTTTCCTTTTGTATCATTGAAATCACTCCCTCCCCTTTCTCTGTTAAAATCCAAGAACAACAAAACTACTGCTAAGCAAAACTGATGGAAAAAATAACAGGTATATTTCATAAGGTGGGAAGATTTACATTTTCTTCAGGAGATATCATCTAACCTGAAGCAATAATGAGTAGGGTATAATTGATCAGTAATGATTCCTTTTGTGTGTCCATCTCAGTTCTTGTATGCACTACTGTGGTTGAATATTGGCAGGATTTTCACTCTAGAAAACACAATTTGAGGAAAGTTGGAAATGAATGGAGTGTGCCCAAAAAGTAAGGTTGAAATATCTAAAAAGAATGAACAAGGTGTAGATGGAAGTTATCAACTCCCTTATGACTGCTAGGGCAAGTGTGTTATGATTTTCTTTTTGATTTTTCAGTGTGCCTGTGTACTGTCTCTAAGATCACATTTGTGTTTCAGACAGCTGCCATCACATCTGACTTATTGGAGTCCCTTGGGAGAGATGGCCACTTCACGCTCTTTGCTCCAACCAATGAGGCTTTTGAAAAACTCCCCAGAGGGGTCCTAGAAAGGATCATGGGAGACAAAGTGGCTTCTGAAGGTAGTACAATGTTTTCCTCCCTGAGAAGCCATCCAGTCCTTGGAGAAGAAGGAGATGAAAAAGAGACAGGTTCTTTTTCAAGAACCAAGAATAGAATCAGGAAAGACTAAGGATAAGGAAAGACAGAAAGTGTGTATTCTGAGGGACACTAAAAATACCTTTAAATATTCAGGTGCTGGTGACCCATACCTGTAATCTTGGCTACTTGGAGGCTGAGATCTGAGACTCATGGTTTAAAGCCAACCCTGGGCAGAAAAGCTTGTGAGACTCTTACAATTACAATTAACTACCCAAAAAAAGCCAAAAAATGGAGCTGTGGTTCAAGTGGTAGAATGTTAACCTTGAGTAAAATAGCTCAGGGACAGAACCCAGGCCCTGAGATCAAGCCCCATTATCTGTACTGTATACACACACACACACACACACACACACACACACACACATGCACGCACACACAAATCTCTTTTTAGAAGTTCTTGAAAATGTAGATTGAAAATCTTTAAATATCAATATCCTTAAGAGCTCAGTCTTGGTGCTCTTTTGAAAAACTAAGTAGCATTAAGTACATATATATTTACATACTCATCTGTGTATATGTATTTATATGTAAATATATACCTATGCATGTGTGTATATTTATTTGAGGATATAAGTCTATATATAGCATAGTTAAGGCATAGATCCCTCAAAAATCCTTCTAGAAATCATCTTTATTTTGGCTACTAGTAGATACCATCCATACAGAATTGTCTCTTCTCCAACCTCTACCAAGTTCATTGCAAATTACTGACAGATAGTTAGTCTGTCTCTTAGAAGTAGCTAGTCTCTTACCTCCTGCCAAGCAGAGCTGATTCTGTTGAGGAGTTCATGAGGGCAAGAGGGGTGGAACACATAAACTGTTAAGATGATTAAATCTTCAGCTACTTAAAGATAATAATAAAATATAAAGAGTAGTAGTAAATATCTTTAAAGAGAGAGAGCTTTGACTTGCTGGATAGTACTGTATGACTTACGTCACAACTTCAACCCTCTCATTCTTTAGGACTTCCAAACGTGGTATTTTTTAGATTCACATATTTTTTCAATGAAACACATCTTTTAAGAGTTCAATGATATTTCCCTTCTTCTCAAAGATTGCTTTTTTCTGTAAATTTCTACACCAGCTCTCATGAAGTACCACATTTTAAATACTCTGCAATGTTCTGAGGCGATCATGGGAGGAGGTGTGTTCGAGACCATGGAAGGAAACACAATTGAGATCGGCTGTGAAGGTGACAGCATCACAATAAATGGAATCAAAATGGTGAACAAAAAAGACATTGTGACAAAGAATGGTGTGATTCATTTGATCGATGAAGTCCTCATTCCTGATTCTGGTGAGCAATAGTTTCCTATTTCCTTAGCTATCAATTATGGTGTCTCATGAGTAAATGCATGCTAAAAAAAAAAAAAATGCATGTGCAGTACAAAGAATGGAATGTGAAGCACAAATGCAAAGTGATCTGTGAGCTAGTAGAGTAATTAGCAGGAACCCTGGGGAGCTCTGAGCCTTCTGTGCATGGAAGGCTGTCTAACATCTACTATTTATAAAGTGCCAGAATTTTTCTTAGCAACAAAATTTTTTTAAAAAAGGGAAATGGTAGACAAGTAAATGAAGAAATCATGGTTCTCCAATGATAGAAAGAAAGTTCTATGGTTATCAGTCTCTCAAAAGGAAAATTGGAACCCTTTTTCCTAAGGAATGGCAGATATCTAACTAGATTGATGTTGCAGTAAATAGCTTAGTGTTGGAAAAGAAGCAAAATTTGATTTACTAATCTCAGGATGATGATAATATCAATGATGATGTGGTGATGGTTTGTTTTACAGCCAAACAAGTGATGGAACTGGCTGGAAAACAGCAAACTACTTTCACAGACCTTATGGCCCAGTTAGGTTTGGCATCTTCTCTGAAGCCAGAGGGAGAATATACTTTGTTGGCACCAGTGAACAATGCATTTTCTGGTATGTGCTGGACATTGTTGCTTCTCCTTTCCCTAAAACAGACCTTTGTCCCTTCACCATGAGTATTTGCACTGACCAATAATAGATGTTTGACAAAGTGCTGATTAGTTTGTACATTAGCTACATATACATATACATAGTGTGTATGTATATTCATATACATATACATAGTGTAAATACTACACTGTCTCTATTAAAATGTCCTTCATTTCAAAACATTGCATTTAAAAACTAATCGTAGACTGAGAGTGAAAGTTTGTAATATAGTATTCATTTTTATTGCAAATCTGATATTTCCAGCACATATAGAATGTAGAAAAAGCTCTTAAAAATAAATCTCATTATTGGTTTATTTGATACCAACATAATATTTAGAAATAAATAGGCATATTTTCCATTCCAGTTTGGAAAGTTTAGATATCAAGTTATACTTTAAAAATGACCTTGATGCACTTCATTATCGTGATATGAAATATTGTGCTTTTTCACGTAATAGTTGATATTGACTGAGAATATTTACATAGTGCAAATTGGCCCCTTTACCAGAAAAACGATTCCCCAAGGAAATCTTTAAATTTTATTATTCATATTTTAAAAGTCAGTCTTTCATGTTAAATTGTGACATCGAAAATTATTGAGTAAAAACTCAAACTTCTAGAAATACTATTTTATTCTTTGTAGTGATATTTCATATATTTTGACATGTATAAGTTTAAAATTTTGAGTGCCTTGATTCTATTGCCAGTAATAAAGAATTAAGAAGTGACTCATCGATAATCATTCATGCAGCTAACAGACATTTAGTTGTCAGAAAAATACTGTGACCTTTTCCAACGGCCACTATGAAAGTGTGGAGCCCAAGTAGAGATTCAGCCCAGTGTCTAAACTGCACTAAACCATGTTAAAATAATCAGAGGTAATAGATCACAAGTTTCCAACTGGTGAATCAAATTGCTGGCCTTGAACATTTATTTGACTCTTCTAATGTATAAGTGCTCCACATCAATCTTCACTTCATGTTTATCTCATACCTAGAGAAACTCATGTTTCCCATATAAAAAAACATTCTTTCTTCATGAATTTACTCATAGATGATACTCTGAGCATGGATCAGCGCCTTCTTAAATTAATTCTGCAGAATCATATACTGAAAGTAAAAGTTGGGCTTAGTGATCTGTACAATGGACAAGTACTGGAGACCATTGGAGGCAAGCAACTCAGAGTCTTCGTGTATCGTACAGTAAGTGAATCAGAACACCAAGCATCCAGATTGGTCCAAATGTCACATGATCCACCCTTGTCAAAGAATTGTCATGACAAATATTTGCCACAATTTTACAAATGTGACTTCAGATAAATGTCCATAGAAAAGTCAGGGAGTAGGATAGACTGGGTGCAAAACAACTGTGGGTAAAGTATTCCAAAAATAGTATGCATTAAAAACTCAGATCATAAGCAGTTATTCCATTAAATAAATAACTTATTTTCTAGATTGATATTTAAACTCTAACATGTAATAAAAACTCCTCAAAACTATGCTTTTGATTTGCACAGTAATTTATACCTAACAAGAAAGTTGTTTATTATTATTATTATTATCAACATCATCATCTTTAAGTAGTTATACAAAGGAGTTACCATTTAACAAATCAATTTATGAATGATAATATAATGCTTTATTTTAATATCACCATCCAAGAATAGGATGACATTCGAGGAATATTTTTATAGACATAGACTTATGGAGTCCATAAAATGAGCCTAAAATACATCAACCAGCAGAAATATTTCTAGAAATACTTTTTAATCAAAATTACAGTGCAAATACTTTTGCTGTTCAATTTCTGTCCAGAGCACATGGAGTTACAACTAAAAGTTTCTTTGGAAGTCAAGCATTTTCCAGAACTTATAGTACTCAGAGACTATTCTATAGCTTCACAATTCCAAGGCACACATTTTCACTAAGGAAGCTTCACTTTAAATGATGACTATGTCTGTATCATATACAAAAAAGAAAATATAGTAAAAAAATTTTTGTTGGTTGTGGAGCTTGAACTCAGGGCCTGGGCACTGTCCCTGAAATCTTTTGCTCAAGGATAACACTCTACCACTTAAGCCACAGTGTCACTTCCAATTTTGAGTGGTTAATTGACAATAAGAATCTCACGGGGACTTTTATACCTGAGTTAGCCTCTATCAGGATCCTCAGATCTCAGCCTCCTGAGTAGCTAGAATTAGAGGCATGAACCACCAGTGCCTAGCAGGAAAATGTAGTTAATATTTTTAAACTTTTTTTTGGTCAGTCATGGGGCTTGAACTCTGGGCTTGTAGTTAATATTTTTAAGGACCAGTAGAAACACTGAAGCCAGCACACTTCACAATTACTATTGGCCTATAAAAAAGGGTCTGGAAAAAAATAGCTCAAATTTGAAAAGAGATTGTGGAAAATGTAGAATTGAACTCTATAAAACTTCTGTAACTTGCTGACCAAACTGCAGGTCCAATGCCTAAGGTAGCTGAACCTGTATAGAAAAGCTGACTGGATAAGAAGTCTGAAGTCAGTTAGTCTGAGACATTAAACACTGAGCAGAGAAGCCATTTCCTCTGGTCCTCAGAGGTTATGACCTCTCAGAAAAGCCAATTCAAAAATGTACTCGTTCAGCTGAACCAATGGGAAATTTCCAGCCACCCGAAGGACACCTTGTATTGTTCTTTGCTTTGGTAGGCTGTTTGCATTGAGAATTCTTGCATGGTGAGAGGAAGCAAGCAAGGAAGAAATGGTGTTATTCATATATTCAGAGAAATCATCCAACCTGCAGATAAATCCCTCCATGAAAAACTAAGACAAGACAAGCGTTTCAGGTAAGCTTATTAACTGCACCTTCACACACACACACACACACACACACACACACACACACACAATTACTGCCATATTTTGTCTCACAATTATTTTTCAAAAAGCCTTGTAGTTTCCAGTATTGATAAGAACAAAATTTAGCATAAAAAGTCCATAAAAGGTTTTAAGTTTGCTTTCTGTAATGCCATAATATAACGTTTTTGTTTTTCTTTTTGGTCAGTTGTGGGGCTTGAACTCTGGGCCTGGGTGCTGTCCCTCAGCTCTTCAGTTCAAGGCTAGTGCTCCACCACTTGAGCCACAGAGCCACTTCTGGCTTTTTTCTGCTTATGAATCAAACCCAGGACCTCATGCATGTGAGGCAAGCACTCTACCACTGAGCCAACTTCCCAGCCCCCATAATATAACTTAATGAGTAAAATAAATCTGATAGGCTGAACTTCTCTTTGTAAATTTCCTTATAATGAAATTTTATATTATATTATATTACATATTAAGTAATATACTAAGTGATCATATATTAAATGATATATTATTTTACAGTGATAATATATTAGAAAAAATGATTTGATAGAATATTAAAGGTTTTTTTTAAGAAAGTCTCTGTTTTACAATAAAGCATGTCCTTGACAAGTAAATGTTTAAATAGGGATACAGGTTGACCCAGTGTAACAATGAACTTTACAATTTAGGCGGGGGCTGGAGGGGGGGGTAATAGTTATGGAAATGGGAGGGAAGGGATGGTAGGGGAAAAACAAAGAAGGAGGCAACAGTGCTTGGTAAGAAATGGACTCATTACCTTGCTCATGTAATTGTAACCCCTCTGTACAGTATTTTAACAATAAAAAATATTTAAAAAATTAAGTCATTCTCTATTACAAAATTTTCTTAGCAGGTAGATTGCACTGGAAATATATATTAAAATGTGGAGGTTTCTCACTCCTTCTGAATAAGTAGACTCTATTTTCCTGTATGCATTGTGGTTGAATATAACCAAATCTAAATCTCCCCCAAATGAATGCATCTCCTTTCTGTTTAGTGTCTTCCTCAGCCTGCTTGAAGCTGCAGACTTAAAGGATCTTCTAAGTCAGCCTGGAGATTGGACCTTATTCGCACCAACCAATGATGCTTTCAAGGGAATGACAAACGAAGAAAAGGAAACTCTGATCCGTGAGTATAAGTGACTACCAGCTATTCGCCCTTGGGTTTCAGGATATAACTTTTTCCTCAAGCATTCTTGTTCACTCCAACATTAATCTAAAACAGATTCCCTCCTCTGTATTCTTGGCAAGCTACAATTTCCTTTAATTCCACATGGGATGTGTGAGGAGCCTTTCATAAACTTACTACCCGTGTGTTTTTATTGGTCAAAAGGCAACCAAGGACATAATAGGAAAGAAATAATCATAATGCCAAAACTAACTCAGTATTTTTCTCCTAGTAAGTTGCAGAATATTCTGATCTCATTGGAATGATTAATGCAGCATTGATAGCAACTTGAGAAAATAATGACATTATAAGAAAATGCAGCGTCGGGAAAATAAAATAAAGCCCAATGTTTTAGCTTCTTTGTACTTATAGTATCAACATGTCAGAAAACAATGATATAATAGTAAATAAATATGAACATTTTTTTTCTCCTAGGGGACAAAAATGCCCTCCAAAACATCATCCTTTATCATCTGACACCAGGAGTTTACATTGGAAAAGGATTTGAACCTGGCGTCACTAACATTCTAAAGACCACACAAGGAAGCAAAATCTATCTGAAAGGGGTAAGCTGTCTAGAATGAATTTATAGTAATGTTTATATATCATTAAATTATCCTAATGTCCATTCTTTATTAAATTTCTTCCTGACATCTTTTATTTGGCTAGGGAAATGAAACACTTCTGGTAAATGAATTAAAGTCCAAAGAATCTGACATTATGACCACGAATGGTGTAATTCATGTTGTGGATAAACTTCTCTATCCAGCAGGTTGGTAATTCTTGAATCTATTAATGGAATAAGACTTTTTTATATAATATAAACCTAGGTTTTTATTTCACATTTTCTTACCAATATTCACTCAATAGACATACCTGTTGGAAATGATCGGCTGCTGGAAATACTTAACAAACTGATCAAATACATCCAAATTAAGGTACAGAATGATATTTGGTTTATTTTCATACATTAAACAGATATCATAGTTTTAACATGAGACTAAAAATAGACATTAATGTGTAAATATACATTGGGCTCTGATCTTTATTGCTTAAGTACTACTGAACATCCAGTAAGGAAATAACTCTCGGGGCTGGGAAGGTGGCTCAGTGGTAGAGTGCTTGTCTTGCATGCATGAGGCCCTGGGTTCAATTCTTCAGCACCACATAAGCAGAAAAAGCAGGAAATAGAGCTATGGCTCAAGTGGTAGAGTGCTAGCCTTGAGCTGAAGAGCTGATAGAGCTAGCACCTAGGCCCAGAGTTCAGGCCCCACGACTGACAAAAAAAAGAAAGAGAGAAAGAGAGAAAGAAAGAGAGAGAAAAAGAGAGATAGAAAGAAAGAAAGAAAGAAGAAAAGAAAGGAAGGAAGGAAGGAAGGAAGAAAGGAAGAAAGGAAGGAAGAAGGAAAGGAAGAAGGAAGGAAGGAAGGAAGGAAGGCAGGCAAGCAAGAAAGCAAGAAAGAAAGAAAGAAAAGACTCTTCACAGTTTTAATCAACAAATCCCTACTTAAAGCTAATTGGGACAACTAGCATCTTAAGTGTGACAGAAAAATATTAAGTAGAATTGAATATAGTCTTTAAGAAAAAAGCTGACAATGTTGTTGGAAAGAAAAGAGATATATAAGCAACTAAACTCTTTATATTGTCAAGATTTAACCATCAATTACTTTTGATACTAAATATGATGGAAAAATAAAGAATTCGATAGATATATTTAAATTTGGATTAAGTATTATTCTATCATTTTACAATGCTGAGTAACAAATCCAATAGTGTCTCAGCATCTGCCCTGATAGTCAGAAATTAGGACACGATTTATTTGAAGGCTTCATTTCTATTCTATCAAATGTTATAATAGTAACCTAGTTATTTTTATTTTAGTAAGAGTTAAGGAGACTACATGGTTTCATTTACTGAATTTTATGTAACTAAACATAAATGTTTATTTCCAGTATGTTCGTGGTAGCACCTTCAAAGAGATCCCCATGACTGTCTATAGTAAGTATCTGAAAAATATTGTCTACAAATAAGTGGCAAGATGTAAAACAATCATTTTCTTTGCATTTGCAAAGACTTGATAATCTGGTATTTAGAATTCCACACACCAGGGTATCTCCTTCCTTTGGAAACAGAGATTGAAGTGTAGGAGAAGCTTTCCAGCCTTGCCCATATCCTTATATTCGATTGAACCACTTTCCTACTTATAAGAAAACTAGAGCGAGAGGGTATGGCATGGATAGAATGCCTGTGTGGCTGAGAGAAAATGTATAAAAGACATATAATGGGAAGAGATGGCACAATAGTTACTAAAAGTTTGAATGTGTGGATATAATAACAGCACTGCTAAATAACAAAACCTTTCTTTCTTCTCTCAACTCCTGAGCTATGAGAAGGTGTGGCAAAGATGAATAATGTTTATGAGGTAGCAGTACAAAACCTCTTCCTTTACAAAACTGGACTAACAAACACACAATCTTAAAGGTTCCAGAGTTCTTTCATCCCAGATAATACCAGATTATCAAAGCTCAACCTGTACTGCTTAACAACAGAAGAGCATTTAATTCTCATAAATATCACTCATAAAGTGTTGTCTTCATTGTAGCATTATCCTCCGGCCTTCTTTCTTCCTTTCATCGTAGCTTTCAAAGCAAAAATTCTCTTCATTTTGTTTTGGCTCTACAACTAATTATTCAAAATGTACCAGTAGCTAAAGTATTACTAGAAAGTTATTCTATCTCATATTATGAACATCCAGTTATTTAATTACTAACATTTTACACTAGATATTGAGAAGGAACAAAGCCAATAAGGAGCAAAACAAAATGTCTGCTACTCATATTGATTTAAGCTCTGTGACTTTACCATTCTCAATTCCATTATCAAGCCAGCTTAATACTGTCTCAAGGATTTAAATAGAATAATGATGATCCAGCCTGGTATAAATTCCAGACTGGACGTATATAACTTTGTCAAAATCTATTTTACCATGAGTTAAAGGATCCTTATGGGCTCTATTCATCAGACATGCTATGTCATCCTTTACTACCAAAGACAGATGTGAACAAGTTTTTTAACATCTATTTTTCCATGTAGTCTGTTCCTTTCCATATATGGAAGAACACTATTTTGCTTATCATAAGCCAAAATATTACTAGAAATTTTGAATTACCCTTTACAGAAGTTGTCTCAGTCATAGGTCATTAGCCACATTTAAAAATATATATATTTAAGTTTAATTAATGAGTCTTGTTGATCTATTTAGAACCCTTAATCAAACTGACAGATGAATTACAATGTTGGATGTCTCTATTACTCCTATCAGAGTAAAATACTGCCACTAAACATTTCAAACAGTAGAGACTAAATAAACCAAAGATTTAATTTTTTATGTTCATTTGTTGGTTTCTCTCTAAAGTTTGTAATTTCCTTGGTGCATATGACTCTTGTCCTGCAACTAATATATATGTATATATTTTGAGATTTCTTTTTCTCCAATTTTATTTTTATTATCTATCATTAGTCATACAAAATAGTTACCATTCAACAAACTGGTTTATGAAAATAATGCATCTATTTCAATGTCACCATTTTCATCATTCTCTCCCATCCCTCCCAAACCAACTCTTCCCCTCAATTTCATGGAACATGCATTAAATATTGTGACTGCATCCCCTCCCTTAAATTGTATTTTGCATGCTTTTTGTATGTATTATCAAATATCGAGTATTTGAAGTGCAAGGGACAAGCATCAATAAATCCTTAACTCTATTTGTCAAGAAGATTTAATTCCTCAGAAAAGAAATATTAAAATAAAACTACCAATTAATTAATTATACATCTTAAACTTAATTCATTTACATGATTCTAAAAAACTGAAGTACAAGAAATTAATCCACTTTAATAATAACAGTACAAATCTTTCTTTCATTTGATCCTCATGGGAAGTCCTGAGACAAAACTATGTGTGGGATAAATAATTAAATACATAGATTGGAAATGTTTTAGAATCTCCTAATTTGAGATTAAACCAAGATTTAAATACAGTCTTTATAAGGGACCAGATCCTACATTGGTTTTAAAAGTTGATAAAATAAATATCTCAGAACAGGAGATAAAAATCTGACAGAAACCAAGTTGTGATAACATTTCAGCTCTTAGGAATCAACATTAGTCACTAATTACTAATTCAGCTCTAAGGCATCTTCTTACACAGTATTACCATCTTTTTTTTTTTTTTTTAAATTTAATTTAATTTTATTTGTGAACATACTGTACAGAGGAGTTACAGTTACATGGGCAGGATAATGCGTACATTTCTTACCAAGCATTGCAGCCTCCTCCTTTGTTTATCCTTCACATCCCTTCCCAGCCTCCCCCCTCCCCCCCTAATCCCAATCCTTCTCCTCCCCCCACCCCCCCCCCCAAGTTGTCATGTCCAAAACGAGTATTACCATCTTTTATGTCTTCTATTCCATTCCTGGGAATTTACTCAAAAGATTAAAACCTAGGATGCAGTAAAGCCACCAGGACAACCATGTTCACTGCAGCACTATTCACCATAGGCAAGGTATGAATGGATGAATGAATCAAGAAAATGTGGTATATACACAGAATGGAATTTTACTCATCCATTAGAAAGAATGGTTTTGCACCATTTTCAAAGAAATGGAAGGACCTGGAAAAATTCTGTTAAGTGAAGCAAGTGAGGCCCACAGAGACCAAGGTTGCATGCTTTCTTTGGGTGGTACACATATGTACCCAAATATATTACCTGAAATACAGTAGATTCAGTGGAGAACTCAGTGTAATGCCCTAGAAAATCTAAATCAATCTTCAACAGAGTAAACAACAGGAAATTGGTACTTAGAAATGGTAGGGTGAAGGATAGGGAGCTAGACAAATGAAGAGATGAAAGGAAGAAAATGCAATAAAAAATTCAATGTATATCTTACAAAATTAAGAAACTAAGGGAAGGGGTGGGTTGAGAGGGATGACTGAGAATGTTGAAAGGGATGACATTGAGCAAGATGTATTCATAAACTTCTTTGTTGAATGGTGTGTGTGTGTGTGAAAAGACAGGAATGAAAGAAAAGTCTGTAGTTTGACAATTTTTCATTCCAAAAATACATTTCTGCCTAAGTTAACCTGTATAACCAAAGTCAACAAACTCCTTGACTACTTTAAGTAAACTTTGTGTGCATTATTATCTCACTTAGATTGATGACATACATTTAAAACACATATCATGAAATTAAAAACATAATGAACCCACTAAATCTAAAAATTAAAGATATTTTAACATTAAAATTAAATTCTGACCATATCATATTTGTTGCATAGAGCTCATGTTGGCTGGCTGAATTTCCCTCTTCCCTTTAAGCATTCTGAATTCCTTCTCATATTTTTCCTTTCTATATCACTGTTATTATCAAATGCATGAAACATTTTGTCTCTATTTCAATACTCTTTTTTAATTGAGAAAAATTCAACAATGCAATTGAAGATATTATGAATTGCATGGAATTAATTCTTTGTCTTCTGTTACTATACAGCCAATTTTCAAGAAGTACAAAAGAAGGTAAAGAGCATTAGAGGAGTAGTTCAGAATGAGATTTCTAGATAGAGTTCCTAATTTAGTAACTTTATTTCACTGGAACAAATCCACGTCATGACTTCAGAGCTCAACACCTGAACACAGAAGACATCAGTTACATACTGCGCATATTTCCTGTAGCTAACTGCCTGAACAAATGACCATATTTGATGACTCAATACCCTCTGAGGGCAAGAGAAAAAGTACATCATTCATTTTACTTTTGTATAAACATCATTCATATTCCACTTTCTATGATTTCAGCCACTAAAATTATAACCAAAGTGGTGGAACCAAAAATTAAAGTGATTCAAGGCAGTCTTCAGCCTATTATCAAAACTGAAGGTAAAAAAATAAATAACTACTATACATGGTTCCTTTACTGTGACAAAATTCACATCATCTACTGATGTCTATGAATGAATCTGCATTCTTCTTGAAACTAACATGCTAAATATTTCTTTACCAATGGCATGCTCATGAAACTACAGAATGTGTAGTACAAATTATTTAGCAATGTAGATGGTGCATTTCTAATACTTTCAGTACATTTGCTTGTATTTGATTTCATTAAGTTCAATTGATTTCAAATTAGCACTTGTACCCAGATACTCACTAAAAAAAAAAAAAATAGAAAAAAGAAAAAGAAAGTCTTGAACATTTCTACCATATGTTCCTTCAGTCACTGTGGTTTTTTGGTACCTTTGTTTCCGATCTCCCCAAAAGTCTCTTTTGTACTATTATAAGAATCGTGCTTCACAATGAGCAACTTTTTTTAAAAAATTATTCAGCTGCTTAAGAGAGCATAGAAGTTGTACATCAATGGAAGCTTTTAAAAATGCAACCAAACATTGGTGTAATGTACACTGACAATTTATAAGAAAGCAAATAAATTTACTGAGAGATAAAATTATAGGGCCAACATTTTTAAACTTAATCAACAGGCAAAGAGATAATAACTTTGTTAATGAGTCAAGCCTTAGAATCTTACATTCCATATGTGAGCATATTGTTATCTATGAAATACTTACTTTTCTCCTGATATTTCGGATTATAAAAGCCACTTTTCTCTCCACTCTCACTGTTCATTTCAGCCAATCCCAATGTCTTTGACATTATCTTAATTTCATGTATTTTAATTATCTCCAAAGGTTAAACTTCAAGCATTTCTTCTTTTCTATGTTTATGTATCATGATGTGTACCTTGCCAGAGAACAAACCTGGTTATCTTTTTGTCCTATAAAAAAAAGAAACTATTTGAAAAGAGGAACAGGATATGTCTATAATTTCATCTAAAGAAAAAGATTCTTGCACTCATCTTTGATTTTCATCATTTCTTTCTGTGAATTAAGATAGTAACTTTGAATACTATTGTCTTTATGTTCCTTTGAGTTCCTTCATCTTTTGAATCTTTATAATAGGGTTCTGTCTCATTGGGTTTTTTATAATCTTTATAATAGGGTTCCTCTCATTGTTATTTCAGTTAGGAGCATAATGAGGTATCAGTTTGTTGAATCTGGAGTTCTCCCATAATGGAATCTGGATGCAAAAAATCGTGCTACAAATTCACTAAAAAGAGTTGTATTCAAAGATTCATAGCCTTTACTTTCCTTACCTTAATGAAGGAAGCAAATATTCATCTGGACAATCAGCTCTTAAGATTGCTACTAGAGTTACCTTCTCTTGTTAGGAACTTTATGAATTCATTGATGAAATTTGAGTTCTGTCTAAGTACCTTACACTCCCAGACATAATTTTGAGGTATCTGGCTTTTTCAAGTAAGTAATTAGGCAAATTTTAAGATTAACTAAATATCTTCTTATTTCTCCACCTTAAACTCTTAGGGATACTTTCATTTTGAAATTTCTCCACCTTAAAAACCTGATGTCATGTCTATTCAGTAGCCATTGGCCTCATCTATGATGGCCTGGAATATTTGTGCTTTGACAGAACTGTATATTTGTTTCTATTATTTGCCATTATTCTATTTAATTCTGGGTATTGGTATATATAGACAATTGATGGACAAGAAAAATCTAAAGATAAGCAATTACTACCATATTCAACCATTGAAAGGTATTACAGTATGAGTTAAATGTACTGAACCATGTTTTTCTTACTCTTCTGTGAAAGATTCTTGATTAACTAATGTAGTAATTTGCTAACATTCAAAATGATTTTCTCTGAGAGCAAAATCATTTTGCAAGTCAAATGTGGCAGCTGATGATCTTTGCATTTGAAGATCTATTTTTAATTAGTTAACTTTTCATAGTTTTCATATACAAGGTAAGTACTCTAGTCCAATTTCCCATAAAACCTAAAATTCTGCATCTTAAAGGTAAGTATATGGCATTTTCTTATTTTCAGTCTTATGTTTATTTAAGATAAAAATGTAAGGTCCTCAGCCAGATATTGGTGGCTTACACCTATAAAATCCTAGCTATTCAAGAGGCTAAGACCTAAAGATAAATGTTCAAAGCCAGCTTGGCAAGAAAGTCCATAAGCTTTTTATCTCCAATTCACCCCCAAAAAGACAGATATGGAGGTGAGGCTCAAGTGGTAGAGCAACAACCTTGAGTGAAAAAGCTTAGAAATAGCACCCAGGCCCTGTGTTCAAACCCAGTACCAAATACACACATACAAAAAATGGTAAAGTCCTGAGACATTAAAAAAAACAACTTAACTGAACTGCTAAGTCTCACCTATAATCCTAGCTACTCAGGAAGCTAAGATCTGAGAATCATGGTTCAAAGCCAGCCTGGGCAGGAAAGTCTATGAGAATCAAATAATAAACTCAAATAACAACTCAAGTGAAATATTTTTTATAATGACAGAGAAGTAGAGAGGATTTATCTGATGAAGTAGGATCTAAACTAGTAATGATTAGAGTCCATCAAATTTGTATGTATGTAATTCACAAAAGTTGTCACATCCAATATTTTCATATTAATATTATATCTACTGTTATCATTTGCTACAAGTAGTAGTGAGTGGGTGGCTTTGTACATCACTTTAAACACTTAGACAGATGGAAGTAGTTATATAGCACACCAACAGAATGAACCATTTTAAGTATTGCCTAATCAAAAGATAATGAGAAATGTTTAAAACTGATTTTGTAAAACCTGAAACACTTTGATATCTGAGTAACACCATATGTTGAAATTAATTTCCTGTTCTTGTAAACTGAAAGGATCATTGTAACTCAGTGATATGTCTCCTATCATACCATCTCAGGACCTGCAATGACTAAAATCCAAATCGAAGGTGAGCCCGAATTCAAACTGATCAAAGAAGGAGAAACTATAACGGATGTGATCCGTGGAGGTGAGTGGTCTCTTTGCTCTAGTAGCATCGCTGTGACTATTCAGCCATCATTACAGTGCATCTAGATCAGTGTCATCCCTTCTGCTGGGACTGTTTTAACATAGTGTGTGTGTAGAATTATTGCACATCCAATTTTTTTCTTTGTTTTCATTTTATATCAATGGGGGTATCATTTTCAAAGCTATTATCAGCAGTCAGTAATAAAATAAGGCTCTTATTAACAGTCAGAAATGAAATATAGTTTGGCTTTGAGGAGTGCACTTGTCATTAACATTATCTATTAAGTCCCTAGTTTCAGTGAAAATGCCATTAGCTCTAGGAAAGTATATTGTGTTATGCAATACAGTGTTTATGTTGATGCTAACAGAAAAAAAAAAGTATCGTGTACTCAGAAGAGGAAAATGGCATTTGTGGAAGACTGCTGATAAGCCACTGTCAGGTTTATTGTAGGACTCCTTGTTCAGTGTTAGAGATTTGACTTGCCAATTTCCCTCTCCCTCAACTAAGATTAAAAACCTAACCATTGCCTTGCAAGACCTATTACTTGCAAAGGAATTCATTTAGTTATGTCCTTATAATGACCAGTATCAAATTTTAAATGGTGATATCTTAAGGGAAATATTCCATCATTAAAATATCTATCATAAGGAGTGAGTACAGATACCATACAGGGTAAATCAAAGATATTTTTCTTCCCCTACTTTCAGAACCAATTATTAAAAAGTACACAAAAATCATTGATGGAGTGCCTGTGGAAATCACTGAGAAGCAGACACGAGAAGAACGAATTATTACAGGTAATTCTTAATTCTGTGCACAAAACTGCACTAGATGTACAAAAGCTATATGATAGTCAATCCTCAAATATCTGCAAGGTCATCTGAAAACTGACTAAACTTTCCTTGTGGAAGTTGGTAAAGTTACTTCATTTTCCTTTTTGTGGCAAAAATACTATGCTAAGTAGGTAATTTGTGTTGTACTTTGAATTGGACATTTTAGACATAGTACAAGAATGTTTTTTTCATTATGTACATGCATACCTGCTGTAAAATATTCTACCTTTGCTTTACTGTTGATTATTCTAAAACACAAAAGATTCTTTATGTATGAGCTTCATTAAACTTAGGGTCCATATGTCCACTTACAAGTCTATATAGAATTTTGTTCAAGTTTTTATAAAAAGTTGATGAAGCCGGGCACTGGTAGCTCACACCTATAATCCAAGCTACTGAGATCTGAGGATAATCCAAGCTACTTATGATGCTGAGATCTGAGGATTGAAATTAGAAGTCAGTTTGAAGAAGCAAAGTCCATGAGACTCTTATCTCCAATTAATTACCAGAAAACCAGAAGTGGAGCTTTGGCTCAAAGTGGTAGAGCACTATCCTTGAGCTAAAGAAGCACCAGGATAGCACTCAGGCCCTGGGTTTAAACCTCACAACTGACAAAAAAAAAAAAGTTGATCAATAATTTTACCAAGTTTTTGTATCATTCTTTCACCTATAAATAACTTTAAATTCTATTTTATAAGTATATGTATGCATCTGTAATCAGAACATAGGCTCTGTGACACATATTTTTATAAATTAGTGTTCATGGAACACTGACGTGAGCACTCACATGTAAAATGTCCATAGCTACTTTCACACCTCCATAATGACAAAACTAGCAGGTGCAATTCAGACCCCATGTTTCACATTACTGACTTGCCCTTCACAAAAGCTTGGTCACCCATGTTTTAGACTTTTAAAAAGTGTCTTTTCTTTAGGTCCTGAAATAAAGTACACTAGAATTTCTGCTGGTGTTGGAGAAACAGAGGAAACCTTGAAGAAACTATTGCAAGAAGGTCAGTATGCCTACCAAAAGAAGAATGTACATTTCAAATGTCTGTGCCCACACCAAAAACAAATCTCTATATCCTTGTGTATATTGTACATACTATCATTCCTTCCAACATTCATGTTACATATCAACATAAGGAAGAGATCTAAACATAGGTATGAAATGGAGCCTAAAATGGTATCCATAGTGATTGTTTGGTTAGACATTGATAGACAGTTTCATACCTATCTCCCCTCAAAAACTGGATATCAGCACTAAAGGCTGAGAAGGAAGTGAATGTTGATCTGCAATTCTTTATTGGGCAGAGTTTATCACATCTCTCTTATCTATTTATTATATAAACCAATTTCTGCTATAAACATATATCCTCTCAGAGGTCACCAAGGTCACCAAATTCATTGAAGGTGATGGTCATTTATTTGAAGATGAAGAAATTAAAAGACTACTCCAGGGAGGTTAGTAAAAGGGTAACTAACCCATTTAACAGGTGCTGCTGGTTGAGTTCTTCAGCTTTTTAAAGACTGGGCATAGAGGTTTTTCTTTTCATTAGGTTAAAACAAAAGCAATCTCAGGAATTGTCTTAGCAAATGAAGTGGCTTAAGTATTAGTTACAAAGAATTGATGCCTAATTTATACAGTCTTTAAAAAGTTTTATGATATAAAGCTAGGGAGCATTGAATATTTTTTTGACTTTAATATGGACAATTGTGAGGCTCTTTGGAGTATATGGGAAAAGGAATGATTTTTAAATTATTGCTGCTAAACAAGCCCAAATTTGACATTTTAAAAAATATTTTCAAAAAAATATATTCACTGCTCCTGTAACACCAATGGAGGCATGTTGGGGATCTGTAAGTGCATAGATATGCTTTTTAAAAAACAATATTCTTGTGATTATCTATTTCTTCTAACCATGTGAGTGAAATATAAATTATTTTATACATGAAATTAATCTTTCAAGTATGGAATGTTCTTCATCTAGGACATTCAATGGACCCTACTTTCAAAAGCAAAAGAGTAAAACAAAGAATTCAAAAACTCTAAATGACAATTTTAAAATTTTCATTTTCAATAGAAATATATCCATCTGAAAAATAGAATACCCAAATCATAACTAAAAAAAAAACCTAGACATTCCTGTAAGATCTAACACAGGATTTACTAATCTATCCCAATTACTCAACTCTCTACTACAAAAAATTAGAAGGAAAAGGTGAACACATTATGAGCATTGAATTGAATTCTTTGATTTTTCCTTTTCAGTCCTTGCCATAGTGAGCAGCTTTGTAGAATGGCAGTGCCTGTTAGAGAATGAATGAATTAGTAGATGTTCCTAGTTGTATTGATTTCTTTCATTTTAGGGTTGAACTGTGGGTGAGTATATTTTCTCCTCCTTTTATAAGGTTTTGCTAATAAGTCCATTGTTAAACACAAGTAAGTACTCAAGAGTTGATTCAGTTCTAAAAGATATCCTTGCTACAAGACAAGAAATGGATGCTCTCGTTTTAGTGGACTCCTTTCTTGGATTGTATTTCTGTTCCTTTCGGAGGTTCTTTAGGTTTTCTACACACACCCATCAGGATTTCTTTTCAAATATGTCACATCAAACATTTTATCAAAATATCTCTAAAGCATGCCTTCTCAGAGAAAAGAAGATACATGCTTGTGTGGTCATTGGACACACTAGCTTTCTTTATTCAGCCATCTACAATCCACACTCAGACAAACAATTATTCCCTCAACTCAATTCTAAGAGACAAAGATTTACAAAAAGTTGTTGTGCCTGAAGATTATGTCACGCAGGACTGGCTTTTCCCATCAGCGTTAGGCCAACTGACACACACCCGAGCCATGCTCTTCATTTGAGGACTCAGAACACTCAGTATGTTATGTTTGGGCTGTGAACATTGCGACACACAAAGTTCATCTTGATGACTTGGGTGCACATCCCAATCACTTCAATCAGGACTGATAACACAAAAAATGTCTCTTTAGCACTTACACTGTATCTCGTCACTGAGATGCCTCAAGTTTCTGAACTGAAAAACTATTCACACAAAGTGTGTACAATGTTTCATGCTTATCATGGGCAGAACTGTATATATTGAGACTATTAGCAATTGTAGGAGAATGTTAGCCATAGGGGAAGAGAAAAATTCATTTGGTTTTGTAAATCTGCCAATAAAACATATAACAACTTATCAATTCTTCAGAGAACCTGGATTGTGTTTTAAATCTAGCGTCAAGCTGAGTTCTGACTTGAACAGGGATTTGACTGACTTCATCCATATTCCCTTCATGTGAAAAATGAAAGTGACAATGTTACTTGCATCTTAAGTGAATGACCATATGAAAAAAAATCTTGGAATAATATTCCACATGCAGTACTGCATAATACTACTTCAGACAACACTTACTCTGTCAGCAAATATTATAATCAAAAGTAATGTCAAGTGGTATTTGTAACAACAAAAAGCTTCACACCCTATTTTAAATTTCCAAAATCATAGTCAAGTAAAAATAAATAAAAAGGGAGCCACGCATGGGTGGTTCACGCCTGTAATCCTAGCAACTAAGAAGGCTGAGACCTGAAAATTGTGGCTCAAAGCCAGCCTGGACAAGAAAGTCCGTGAGATTCATCTCCAGTTAGTAACCAAAAGGCCAAAAGTGAAATGTGATCAAATGATACAGCATCAGACTTGAACAAAAGAAACCAAGGCACAGGGACCAGTGTCCTGAGTTCAAGCTCCAATAATGGCACAAAATAAAAATACATGTTTATGTATTTGATGAGAAGCATTTGTACCAAATCCTTTGATGATTGGCTTGTCTTCTTACTTTTTACTTGAACAAAAGTGATTGCAAACCACTCAATTTGTGTTGAAATAGCTGAGAACCCTTGGGAGCAAACCTTCATTATGCACTTCATACACACTTTTCTTCTAAAATATTAGTCGCGTTTCACCTTTCTTACTTTGATATTATCATAGTAAAATGGTCACAAATCTTGTTATATGCTACCAGATTTTGGATAGGAATCTACGTGTACTTGCTTATTTTGAAAAATAGATTGTATATGTGTCCCTTCTTTCAATTGCACAATAATCTGCTATGTGGAACTTAATAAATTCTTGAAAATAATGCTTTTATTCACTAAGTAAAGGTTGGAAACAAAGAACCAAAACTACTCCTAAAGATAATTCATTGCTTGCACTTTATGGGATTTCAAAGAATTCCTAAGAATATACACAATAGAAAATTTTCAACTTTCTTTCTGAGTACTAACATATAGAAAATAAGAAATCAAAGAAAAACTAAGGAGAGTGACAAAGATGAGTTGCTTTCTCTGGGAGATACTTGTGTTTATCTATTCTTTTCTCAAAAGTTGATTCTTTTTATTAAAAGGTCAAAAAGTACATAAGTCCTTTACTCTGCGAAAATGGCACAAAAAATGGGACTTCAGAAGGCATAAATAAACAATGTGTTTGGCACTTAGTGAAGATTTTTTGTGTTCTATAGGAAGCAAATCACTGTTCTTCATCTATATGAAATGCCTTATAAGGACTGTAAAATCTGCTACTAAAAAAAAAGAAAAAAGAAATCTTGGTTAAGTGGTAGCTATTTAAAACCTTATACTTTTGTCTTTAATTGCGGTATTCAGTCTGATTTTATCTATAACTGCTAAGCATTGCTCATTCTAAATTTTTAATTTTAGACACACCTGCGAGAAAGATACAAGCCAACAAAAGGGTTCAAGGTAAATGTATTGACTATAGTAATAGTGCATGTGGCTTATCTTACAAGAAAGATCAAGGAAGCTTTTATTATAGCTTTTAGAGTTATTTTTTCTGTCAGAGAAAAGTTAGTCCAGTTAAGATATGAACTATTTTGGTGACAAGTATCAGGAGAAAAATTGCTCATATTCTGCATTATTCATAGAATCAAATTATTTAATAAATAAACACTTAAAGATAACATGAACATTTTCACATAAATGAGCATATTTCAAGAGAAGGAAGACTTAACCTTTAAAACTTTATGAGATAAGGCTACAGTTGATGTTGTAAATAAATTAGAACAGTACAATACAGAAAAAAGGTTAATATAACTGTTAATAATATTTTGATATAATTTACCAGACTATAATTTTCTTCATAATTACATTTATGCACACTTTCTATTTTGTCCTATTGTAACTCAAAACACTGATAGAGTAAAAATTTTCTCTGTGGAGCCTAGAGTAAACAAAAATTTTGGAACTGTAAGTTTATAATTCTTGAGATAGTTACATAGAAATAGCAAAAAGAAGTCACAAGGCTTATTAATGCATTATAGGTGAATCTGATTTTAAGCTAATCCAAAGTGTAGAACTTTGAAATTCAAGGGCCCATCTTTACAATGATTTTAGTTTGGGTGGTATTTTTTCTCACTGAAGAATTTATCAAGGATTTTTAATATTTCTTTTTTATTCTCTTTCAATAGATATACAAGGGAATTGCCATTTAACACAACCATATGTATAGACAATTCATCTTGATAAGATCAGTGTTACACTAAACATCCAAACCCATTCAAATTTCCTGAAGTATCTGGTGTTTTTATTCCTGATTGCCAAATTTCAAGTTATTTTTACATATTATTATCCAAAACAAAATCTTAATTTTTATCACCATAAGCTAAGGATACTATTAAGAGAACATAATTGAGATAAAGTTTATAACAACTGCAGTATCCTTTGATAGACACTTATGTACAGAATATCACTTTCTTAATCTCTAGTTTTACCATCTTTTTTCCTCATGTATTGTGTCTTTTTCCTAACAGGATCTAGAAGACGATCAAGGGAAGGTCGCACTCAGTGAAAAATCCAAAAGCCAGACGATAAAGTTAATGCAATCCTAAGTCAACAATCTGCCCTTCAGGAAAATGTCAGGAGAGCTGTGTTGACTTAGAGAACTGTAACACCAGCAAAGCAGCAAACCATTCACTAATTCCGCACACACATTTAACTGTTTTCTGAATGAGAAACATGGAGGTAATGTTGGAGTTAGCCTCCCATGGGATTAAAATCTGAAGGAAACATAATACCTTGTAGGTTTTTTTATTTGTCTTAAATTTGACATTAAAAGTTCTGACTAACTTTCAGATCCATCCTAGAAAGTCCTTGTGAGCCCATGAACTACAGTTTAAAACTAAAATTGCTGAGCTGTAATCATAGTGAGAAGATAGAGCTTGTAATTTACGTAATGGAGATGTCATAAGCATTGTTTACCTGTACACAGGAAGTTAAGTTATAAAACTAGATGCTCAGTATAAAACCAGCAAATAGACAAACAAAACATTTCACAACCAAGAGCCTTACACATTTCTAATACAATGTGGGTTTACTGGTAAAATTATGCTATTTTTTACAATTTTATACTCTCAAAATGTTTGTCATATTCTTCTTACAGCACATATGTTTTAATCTCAAACACTTCAATAAAACCATTTAGGTATAAAGAGAATTACTTCAGATCAAGTAATTCAGAAAACTCAAGGTTTAACTTTAAAAAAAAAAGCAGTTCAGACTTGGGGACATGACTTTATACCTCTTTTATTGTAAACAAATACTCAATAAAGGAAATTAAATTGGTGTTTCTGAAATTTTTTCAAACTGTTACATTATATAGTCACTACATAATGAAACAATCATTTGATACTAACAGACCATTTTTAATATAACCTTCAGGAATGCTAATTTGTAAGGATTCAAAAGATGAGGCAGTTTCATCTAAAGGAAAAGAGATAATCAGTTACCCATTTAAGTACCATGGTTTATAATTAGAAAAACAAACAGTACTGCCTAATCATTTCTGAGGTTCACATATTGCTTGTCACAGAGAGGCCCTTTCTAAAACTTACAGTAAGCTAGTCCATTGTATGACAAAGGAGGGGAATATTCATTTTACTAAGAATAACAGAGAGATTGACTTGATCTATTCAAATCTCAGTGAATATCATCCTCAGCTTGGACTGGATGAAATCAGTAATATCCATCAGATAGTTTCTTTAGTAATGAGGCACTGAGTGATAATAGAACAATTGAGGAGAACCTAACTGACTTTGGCTAACCAGCATAAGTCAGAGAAACTTCAACGCATCACTAAGTGCCACTGAAAACCTAGAAAGGTTTTTAGGTAAAGATTATGTGTTAGAAGAGTAGTTTTGTGAGGAACTATGACAAAAGTTTTACTGAAGAAGTGGTCAGAAGTTCTTGGTTTTCCAGAACTGATCCAAATTTGATGAGATAATGTCTACCATTTAGAATAAAATATCCTATGGAGTCAGTGCTTATGTACAGAATCTGAACTGGAAGGAGTGTGGTTCTGATTTCCCCAAAATGATCAGACAATGTGGTCACATGTGGTAGCGCTGGCAGACTAGACGGAAGTATCATCAACACAAATGGCTTTGCCAGACACTGCTTTTCTGTGATCTAGATGAGAATAGGGTCATTACAAAGAATAAACCATAACTTAGCTCACTTATTTAACTCCTTCAGGATTTTCATTTCATAATAAACCAGATGTTCCAAAGATGGATTTCCAACAGTGCTAATCTGGGACAAATAAATGGACATTGAGTGTTTACAGGCTGACTTTAAAGTTCTGTGATTTTACTATGGAGTCAGGAAGCAAGGGCAGTATTGGTTAGTATGCATACATAACGTCTATCACATCCTTTTAACATGTAAGTAGGCTTAGAAATAAAGTTGAAAAGGAGTTACTAATAACAACAAAATAAAATTAATGATAATATAAATAAAAAGATCAAAATAACCAGGCACAGGTGGATCACACCTGTAATCCTAGCTAATCAAGGAATATTGTTTGAATTCAGTCCTGGCAGGAGTCTGTGACCCAGAGTTCAAACCCCAGTACCAGCACACCCACATACACACACACACACACACACACACATTAAAATATAAGAAAATAAGAAACAATAATTTTGCATCCTAAAATAAAGGTTTTTAAAAAAGAAAAAGCAAATATCAATATTATGCAAACACATTCTAAAAGTTGATGTGGGCACAGTTGCACACAACACTTTAACATCTGTAATTTCTGAAGAGACTTACAGTCCGCAGGTTCATATGACATTAGTGAGTTTAAACCATTCTTTTTTCTTTTTGGCCTTGAACATTTAAATCAAAGCATCATTCAACTGACATCATTTCCATTTCCTGAAGATAAAAACGTGGGTGCAGCAAGCATGTTTTTGCAATTATGCTGACTCTTATTTTTCTACTTTATTGTTATAATAGAGGTGATGCACAGAGGGATTACAATTACATGAGTCAGGTAATGAGTACATTCCTTTCATGCAGAGTCTTCTGCTCCCTCATTCTCTCCCAGTTCCTCCCTTCCATCTCCACCCAGCTCCACAACACAACTTGTGTAGCTCACTTTCATCAGCCAGCTCTACTGCTACACTTTTTCACACTTTTTAGTGTTCAGCATATGGATGCCCAATTCTCTCAACACTATTTGTTAAAGAGGCTATTATTTTTCTACTGTATGTGTTTGGCTCCCTTATCAAATATCAGATAACTGTAAGGGTATATGGTTTTATTTCTGGGTCTTCTAATCTATTCCATTGATTTTTGGGTCTATTTTTGTGCCAGTACCAAGCTTTATTATTATTATTATAGTTCTGTAGTAGGGTTCCACTGTGGTTCAATGAAAGGTCCCTACCCAAGTCCAGGACTGGGACAGATGTGGGCCTCAGAGGTGGGGGGGGGGGCGGGCTCCCACAGGGAAGTGCAGGAAGATTGTCATCACTTGAATTCTGGACTTGTGCTCTTTCAGGACCTCGACTAGAGTCTACTTCCCATGAGGTAAGGGACTGTGTTCAGGTCTTTAGGACAAGTGAAAGTCTTAGGGGATGTGGATTCCCAGAGGACTAGGCACAGAAATCAGTCCCATTTGAATTCTGCCGGCCCACACTTGGGTCTTGGTCTGCTGCAGTTCAGATCCTAACCTGGCCTCTATTTCCCACAGGGGGTGGGGGACTGAGTTCACGCCTCCAGGGTAGGTGTGGGGAGATTGTCCCCGATGTCTTTTAGCAGGTCAAGTTTTCCTTCTGGCAGCCAGCGCTACGAAGGACACAGGTTCCTAGCCTCCAACCAATATTGGTTCTAGTAATCTTCCACAGGAAGTAGAAGGGAGATGAGGAAGGGCTCTGGCCTCGTTGCCCTCTTCAAGGATAATATCTTTTCTTGGGTGGTAGAGAGAATGGCCTGGGCCAAGCATTTTGGGCCTCCGCCATTTCTGATCTCCCGTGGGAGGGGTCCCTAGCAATTCTGACTTTGGTTTTGAGCTGACCCATCAGCATTGTGGAAGTTTTCTGCATCTGGATGCGGCAATTTCAAATTGCTGATCTGCGCTGTCTGCGCTGGTCGGGCTCCTATTGGAGCTGCTGGACCACTCTTTTTGTGTGTGTGTGAAAATACCGTACAGAGGGGTTACAATTACATGGGCAAAATAATGAGTACATTTCTTATCAAGCATTGTTGCCTCCTCCTTTGTTTCCCCTTCCCTTCCTATCCTTTCCCATCTCCACTCCCTCTGTCCTTTCCCCATCCCCCCCCCCACCCCCACCCCAAAGTTGTAAAGTTTGTTTTTGGACATAACATCTTGTACATCTCATTGTTTCAGTGGGTCCGCCTGTATCCCTATTTAAACGATTTGTTTTTTCCCTTCCCCTCCACAAATTATACCAACATCAAATACAGTGAAAACAGGGGTTAAACTGTGGGGGAGGGACATACAAAGCAAGAAAGAAATCATCTTATAAATATGTTAGAAACAATTTCAAGAAAGGAAAACCATTTGACTCCTTATCTTGGGGTTCATTTCACCTAATATCAACTTATCTGACCATTTCTGCTTGTCTCACACATACACTAGCTATTGCAAATAAGGGAAAGCATGGGACCTATGTTTCTTTGGGCCGGGCGTACTTCACTTAATATAATTTTTTCCAAGTCTTTCCATTTCCTAACAAATGGAGCAATGTCATTCTAGCAATCCCACTTTTGGGCATTTATCCAAATGATCACAAACAAGACCATACTAAAGCCACCAGCACAACTATGTTTATTGCAGCATTATTTACCATAGCTAAGACATGGAACCAACCCATATGCCCCTCCGTAGATGACTGGATCAAGAAAATGTGGTTTATATACACAATGGAATTCTATGCCTCCATCAGAAAGAATGACACTGCCCCATTTGTTGGGCCACTCGAGGCTTAGCCACTTGCGGGCACCGGATACGGGGTTGGGGCATTTTGCAGTTTTCCATCCGTGTGTGTTAGGTATAAATACTTGATTCTTACGATTATCTGTTTATATTTTTCTTGTTGTCCATCTCTTGGGGGGAAGTGCATGTTAGGTCCCTAAATCTGTTGGATTGGAGAAAGCTAGAGTGATTCTCCATTACTTCACCACCATCTTGTCAGAGATCTATTATGCTGACTCTTATATTTGCTTTTAAATCTTTTCCTCTGCATAAGTAACCTATGAACTTTTGGATGGAGCATACTAGACTTACAACTGTGGTCATAGCATAAATCTATAAATCTATAAATCCAAGTATTCTTTCTCTAGTTTAGGTTGATGGTTTCTGCATCAGAAGCTCCTAAGAGAGCTTTACTTACATTTCAGGATCCCCACCCCCATCAAACTTAAACAAAGTTTATTTTCAAGGAATCCACAGTGACTTATGAATTAGAACATATAGTACAGATGAAATGGAATCATATTTGGTTAAAAAAGATGTAACAAAAATGAACCCCCCAAAAAGAAATTCTTTCATGATCCCATTCCTATGTATAATATGAAATTTTACTTTCACAGAAGAAGAGACTAGAACAGTGGTTACCAGAGGCTTTGTAAATGTGTGTGTGTGTGTGTGTGTGTGTGTGTGTGTGTGCGCGCGCGCGCATGTTGTTTCAGTCAGGAGGGTAAATGTGGTCCCCATTTTTCCTTTTTTTTTTTTTTTGGTCCGGTAGTGGGGCCTGAACTCTGGGCCTGGGCGCTGTCCCTCAGCTCTTCAGCTCAAGGCTAGCGCTCTACCATGAGCCACAGCGCCACTTCCGGCTTTTTTTTTTCTTATGTGGTGCTGAGGAATCGAACCCAGGGCCTCGAGCATGCAAGGCAAGCGCTCTACCACTGAGCCACCTTCCCAGCCCATTCTTCCTTTTTTTATACAAATGCAAGATCCTTTGCTATATAATTTACTTATGTTAAATCCATTTAATAATCATGAGTTCACATTTAAATAAGAACAACCCATGAAGCATTCTAATTGTAAGAAAAGTTTGATTGGAAACTGTTGATGGAGTATATACTAATAGAGCATAATAGTAACAACAAACAGAATTAAACTTGCAATATCTTTCTACTGTGTATATTCCCAAACACACATATACTATGAGAAATTTTCCAAAGAAAAATGGAGTCTAAATTTTACTCATCATCATCTCTTTTTATAAGCATCTAGAGAGTTACTTTTTTTCATTTATAAAGATTGGAATTTTTCTTGAATTTTTAAGTATTCATGTTTCTTTTTTATTAAGTTT